TCCTTAGTTTATCATATTCAGTGGTTATTTTCCATTTGAATCGTCGTCGAGGTCAACGTTATTATAAACAGTTGGCGCCAAAATCCTGCTATGTTCAATCCGCTTGGGTGAAAGTCCTTGCAGTAGGCATTCGAGGAAGCATTGTAGTAGGTCGCCGAGAATTTTCATGTTTCTCGGCGAATCTTTCGAATATACTACTTAATAAACTCGATCAAATGATTCATCGTTTTGTTTCTTCATCAATTGAGTATCGAGGTATCGTTAAAGTCGTTAGGCAGAAATACTTTGAATAGTCAAAGAATAATGATTCATATGTGTCTTTCAGCTAAGAAACGTTAAGATAAGTGTTACGGTTGAAAGCGGAACGTACCAGGTAAGCCCATCGAGTACGTCGTTTATTTATAAACTAAGGAAACCCGGGAGAGAACGCAGGAACGACGGAGGCCAACAGAGTGTCCCTCGCGTTTCGTTTACCGTTCGTAAACTACACTCTGCGCGTACTTCGAGGACCACGTGTTACTTGTCCGATCTTTCGATTGGTTGTAGGATTTCAAGATGGCGCATCTATTGACCTGTCAATGCAAATTCATGATGTTATGCATTTCTTTTTTAAAGAACTTTAAATTTCCTTAAAATTTTTATTATTAATTAAAGATAAATACATTATGCATATAAACTATATTATTTTTTCCTCATTTTAATAGATAGAATAAATTAAAAAATATGAAATTTAAAAATTATTAAAAATCAATTTTAACTTTTATAAAAGTAATATATTTGAATATTTTTAGTAAATACTATTTTTTGAAAAAATTTTGAAAGAATACAATATTTTATGAGTAAACATTTAAAAATATTTACATATATATTGAGAATATATTCATTTAAAATATTTTATTCTATACGAAGAATCATCCATTGCAACAGTATGTCATAAGCTATAATTATTCCTTTCTCTCGCAGGTTCTGACTCGTCTATGCACTTTCACTGTACCTTCGACGATTCCTGAACCAAAAGCGGATTACAATTGATAAAATGCATTTTATTTATTACTTAATCATTTTATCGATAATAAAAAATTTTTTTTGAAAATTAAATTATTCTTTCATAAATTCAAAACACTTATAAAAAATTATATAAAACATTTTTGCTAAGATTTTATCGAAAACTCTGATACATTATAACAAAATATGTTATATATAGTAGGTTACTTTATTTTTATATATACGTATATTAAATATATCATATATTAATTATAAATTGTAGATAATATATTTTAATTCGTAAAAATATATGAATAAATCATAATTCTTTTGCGAATTAATGTGCCATTTTTAATTATAGCTTAAGTCGAAAGTGATTCGATATAAGAATAAATAATCTACTTATGGATTCATTGCCATTTTCAAATAGATCATTTGTATAATTTATTACAATTTTTTAACTTTCAAACAAAAAAAAATTTTTTTTTCTAATAATCTTTAATAATCTTAATATTACAAAAGACAAACAGATGAATTTAGAAAATTTATATATTAATATTACTTATATATTATATATTATATTATTTATATATTAATATTATTTATATATTATATTATATATACTTTTTTATTATACTGTGAATTAAGACGTTTTTGAAGGATGGGTAACGAGGCGAAAAGTCGAGGAGTAAAAGCGTTACATGATTCAAGGACATACGCTAAGTGGAATCGTGATCCAGTCGATAAGTAGCTGTAAGTGCAACGAACGTTCTATCTTTATAATTTACATATTTGTGTAAGGAGTTGATTGAAATTAAAAAAAACATTTTCATGAACTGTCTTGATCTATTCACGAAAAAAAAATGAGAGATTCGAATGCTTACTGGAAAATCGGTACCGTAAACGTTCCACTTCTCTTTCATTCTTTCTTTCTTTTTCTTTTTGTTTGATTTCTTTTTTCTTCCATCATTCTTTCTCTCTTTCTCTTACTCTTAAAAGAAAACCGCTCCGGAATCCATGTCTCGGAATGCGAGGCGACGAGACTTAGCTTAGCACGAACGCAACCTGTCCACGCTATTCCCCCACTACAGACCTGCTGATCCTCCTAACTCGACATGCCCATCCCCACTTAAAGTCTGAACGAGACAAACATGATTGCACTCACACTAAGAAATGTGCCATTATTTGCTACCTCATATCATCGAATGCGATGATGCGTCGCCACTGTCTCAGCTTCTTATTATTCATTTATGTGTATATATGTATATATGTATACACATATATATAATATATATATATATATATATATACATACATATATAACGCGTTTGAATTTATCAAGAAACTGAAATTATTCTGCTGATTTAATAAACACTATAAAATAATATTTTTATTATTTTTCCATAAAATCATATAAAATATTTTTAATTTCATTTGTCTCAATATATTAATTGATGTATGAAATTTTAATAAAAATTTTTGTTTATATAAAAATATTTATATATTATATATTAAAAATATAATTATACATGTAAAAAATTAAAAACATAAAATCGATTGAAGATATCAAAAATAGATAATATTTGACAAGAATTATATTTAGATTTATATTTAACACGAAATTATATTTTATAAAATACGAAAATTTTGTTAAACACAAAACTGGAATCTATTCATGTTATTTCCTCTGTCATCTCTCCCTCCCGTTTTTTTTCCCTTCACCTTCTTTTCCACGCTCTTCTACCTATGTGTGTATGAGTAACTTACACACTATATTGCGAGTATCTATATTTGTCAAATCCCTGTCTGGTGCGTGGATACCAATACTTTACTAACTATTGTACATGCAACATGGTTTCGCTTATTTATCCTATACATATGCATTTGATACGTGTAGATACAGCACGCGTCTTATTTACCGAATGATAAAGAGAAAAAGAGTGATTAAGTGAGAAAGAGAAACAGAGAGATAGCGCCGCGGACAACACGAGTTATTTTTCAAACTCGATGCACGTCTAAGCGATGATCTGCTTTAATAACCGAGTATATCTAGTAAAACAAGATATATGTATATATTTAAGAATATTTTGCAAAAAATTGGATCAATAATTTACCATCAATTCTTTTAAAATTATTATCTTTCTCTTTTTTTGTTTTTGTTTTTTTTTCAAAACAAAAAGTAAAAACATTAACAATCTAAGTTTGATTTCTGAAAATAAAGAATCTGATAATTGAATATCGAACACTTATAAATATATCAATTTAACTTCTTGATTTCGTAAGTGAAAATAAGCAAATTTTGAAATTTACATATGAAAATGAGTTTCACTTATATCGTTATTATACACTTCACTGCTGCCTGTGAAGATTACGTGCAATTTCAAATACAAATTCTGAATTTTTTAGCTTTCCTGAATTGTGCGACATACGTTATGAATATATATGTAAGGAATATGCTCCTCTGCCTCATTCGTTTCGCATTGCCGGGCATACAGGCCGCGTTCTGTTTTCTTGTGCACAGTCGCAACACTACGGATCATTCCCTAGGAATAAGGTCGTTCACAAGATCGTGCCAAGAAACACTATTGACCGTTATTTGTGAATGTTTTTCTAATAGTGTTTAATAATGCTTTATTCATATTCATCCGTGAAATATGAATAATATTAATAAATATTATCAACATTAATAAATATTTAGATATTAAAAAAAAAATATAACTAAAAATTCACATACGGTAAAAAACGCGCCATCAATCACTTGTACCAAAACACATGAGAATTTCACAATTATTTAAAGATATATGACAATTTCTTCATATACAATTTTAATGATCAAAGACTTGATTGTCTAGAAAGTAACGCTCTACATCGACGACCTTGTTCTTAGGATATATACAGGCGTGAATCGTATCAAGTATCTATCAACACTAGAATCAAACGTAAAAGCTTTGCTTGAAATGGATAGAGGGAGCTGATCACAGTTGTCAACGGCGTACGTGAACGGAACACTGGTCGATATGGGGAAAAAGAATACTAGTAAAGAACTAATTGTTGAATAGTACAATATCTATGGTACATACTGGAAAGAATGATTATTCCTTGCGTTCTTCTTCTTTACTATCTTGCAAAAAAAGAGCACAATGACAGTTCGCTCACGATAATGGCAGATGCGCACGACGGTTTGTCACGTGGTAAAGAATAAAAATTACTCGTTTACACGTGTACACCTACTAGCATTTGTATGCATACTTATACACGTGAATTGCGCGTGCGAGTATGTATCCATGGACGCGCGCGCGCGCGCGTGTGTGTGCGTGTATGTATGTATACGTATATTGAAGTGGTGACTGTACAAAAACGTTGCAACAAGACGGCGCGTGGACGGTCGCGGCTGAACTGATCGTGGGGGTCGAGCCACAGGTGTCATCAGACGGCGGCTGCTCCACCCCTCTGCCCCCACTCGGTTTCCTCACCCGCCTTCGATCCCCACTCTTATTTGATACTTTCACGCACACGTTTAACTATGGCGAAGAAAACGCGTGCGCGCACCACCCGGCTTCCTCTATAATCATGCAATGGTATTTGCTCTATTCACAGCACCTATGAATCGAACGAATCATGGCACGTGCTTTACATCACATTTTTTAAACAAGTTTCGATCAATTTTTAATTCGAACTGTATTATTTTTAAAATTAAAACAAAAATCATTAACTCGCCATTTTAAATATTTAACATATGTTTACTAACCTATTTAAATGTCAGTTATTTATTAATAGTTTTAAATATTATATAATAGAAAAATTGGTAGAACATCCCAATGAATAAATTCATTTTAGATTAAATATTTATATTATTACATTTTTATTTGTATACTGTTAACAAACGCATAGAAAGGAATATAGTTCTTGATTGATTAATTAAAATATTTTTAGTCATAAGAATTGTGACAAAAATAAACAAGGAATCTACATAGGAAAGACATATTTAAGTTTGGATTATTGAATATAAATATTCGTAATTCAAATAGATATTTATTCAAAAACCAGTGTATTTCGTGGCAAAACATATAACGTCAATTATTGACGCAATGCTCATGACGTACTCTCACTCATTCAATCGCACTCATACGAATTCCTCCCTCTCTCTGTGATTTATACTCTTTACTAGCTATATGTATATATATATTTTTCTTTATGTTTGCTTATACAATATTTAATATTTTTTTTCTATTTATTAATCATTTTTTGTTTCATCTTATACGTGTACACATATAGTATCATTAAATTGTTGTTAACGCATACAAAATAAACGCATGGTAATGAAGTTCCAATCTAAAATAGTATGCGATATTACAAATATATGTATAAAGTTATTTCACGTTTACAATTGATTTTTTTGTGGTGAAATAGTAATAGCTGTATATAATAGTATTTTTTTTAACATTAGTAATATTAGTAATTGCTAACTGATAAATAAAAAATGAATAAATAAACAAATATATATAATTGAACTTTTTAATTTCTATTAAATTGTGTTTCATAATATTCGTAACATTACATCGTGGTATTATATTCCAAAAGTATATTTTTAAATACAATTAAAAAACTATTTCTTGCAAGAATGATCTGTATTATATCTCCACTTATATATATATATCTCTCATGCATTGTATATTCATTTTACGAGAAATCTTCACTACCATGCATTTTCATTACTATGAAACAATTCAATGATGCTATGTATACAATGTATTATTGTAACATTAGAACTATCGATAGTCTAATTACATATACAGTATGTGATATGGGCGCTTAGCCACTGTTATACGGTACGCAATTTCCCACGTACCCAAGAGTTTGTTTTTGTGAACGAGCAAATGACACGAGTTTCCACTCATAATTGATAAAAGAAATCACATAAAAAATTTCTAGAGCACACGTATCGATTTATCGTTAAAATCAATATCATATTCATTCTATTAATGTTAAACTGTTTCTAGAAAAATATTTATCGACCTTTAGCGGACGAAAATTTGCAAATCGAACTATTTTCTCACCTCTTATGAAGAGAAAGAGAATCTTGATAATTTCTCGTTACTAGTAAAGACAAACTCGTATGATTGGCTCTAAAACAAATTGGCAACCTTTCAGTCGCCCTCGACTTCGTCGCGTGTCACTTGTGAGACTCGCACGACCGTCCTGGGAAACGGAAGCGCCACTCACTTCCCTTCTCATCCAAACGATTCCCTTCTTTTTTTGTAAAATGATCTTAAGTATGTATACATGAGAGAGAACAAGAGCACGTGATTTGTGGAAATCGTTCCGAGAAGCATTCCGACATATCCATTAATTCATGCGATATTATCAATTATGAAAGTCAGTAGAAAATCATGAATAATGGAAAGATGTTCATATTAGAAATAATAATTTTCTTTTATCATATGAAACAAAAAATCTTGTGAAAGTTATAGCAATATAAAATATATTATTATTCATTTAATGTAATTTTTGAAATAATTATGGATAAAAATGTTTTTGTTAGATATACGTCACGCCCTATGCCATGCCAACATTTAATGCAAATCTACGTTTTATAAGTAATTGATTTAATCTTAAAAGTTAATAATAATTAGAGGGACACTAGTAGGTCCGAAAAGCCTCTTTTATACTGTTACGTATATATATATATATTAATTTTTAATTTGTTTTCATTTTCATTTTAATGACTCTATATAGATATACGAATCATTTTACGCTATTTTCGGCTTAATTTATAAAGAGCCACGTCGATAAAAACAAAATACCGAAATCACGCTAAGCGCAAAAAAGTCTCTAATTGTTATTCAAGACTGAAATTACAATGGCGATATATCAGAAGTTTCCCAGGACGAATGATTTGATGACGAAAATTGACCAACACGTTTTTTTTTTTTCAAATTTTTCTACAAGGTCATATTGAGTAAATATTTGTAAATAATCTCTATAATTTATTGTAAACATACACGATTAAAATGTAAAATTTTCTCTTTAACATATAAGTAAAATAATGATTTTAAAGAAAAAACATAAAAAAAAGGTTGGTCATCTTTTTCTATCATCAGTTCGCTTCATTCAACGGACGCTTCTAAAATACTGCCAAATTTTTTTTATAAAATCGAGAATCTTGTCCTCAATTCTATATATCTTATAATTGCACCAATAAAGCGTATCTATCTTCATCATATTTTTTATTTCTAACAATTGTCGTATTCTCATATAACGTCCCGTAAATTGTCAGTATGTAAACTGAATTCAGTTGTATTATACTACTTAAAATATATTCAAAGTTTTGCCTTGCAGCTTAACCAATATAAAAAAAAAAAAGAAAAAGAAAAGAAAAGAAAAGAAAAGAAGAAGAAATTCGAAAGCCTTGTTCGAATAGTATTGTAAGGCACATTTTCGACACGTCCCAAGTCTCTCAAGTTTTCAAGTGAGGGGTGCGTTTTATGGAATCGAAGTCGGAAAGCGACTCGAGAGATCGACTATTCAAGACCCACGCTGTCTCGAGAAAAGTAGTCGCCATGCGTTAAAATAATACGGAAAAAAAAAAAAAAAAAAAAAGAAAAAGTATTCATCTATGTATACGCAAAAAGTTTTCTTGAAAAAACATGTAAAAAAAAAAAATTACATATACATTTATAGTTTACATATTCGTCGCATTAAACGAACGACGAGGCCTGTATACATCAACATTACTGCTATTATCCACCCAAATCCATCGGATTCATCTGCATTGATTTCAAAAGGAACAGAACAATTCTGTTCTGACAAATCTATTTAACATGTTAAGAAATATCACGGTGCATTTTTTTTAGTGATTCACAGTGGTTTTCCACTATTCCCTTTAACAAATAGCACACTACTCTTCTCTGGTAGCGACGGGAAACAACGTTAGATATTGCAATAAATATGGTATAGCAAAAGCTTGACGATGCATGCTCCGTTAGAACCTGGCTCTGATGTAAACAGCAGAAGCATCATGTTCTCCGTAACCAAGACGTTTAGCGTGTTTGTAGACTTCATTCGCTGCAGCAGCCAATGGTAATGGCTGTTCTAATTGATCGCTCATACCTAAAGAAAGTCTTAAGTCTTTTTGCATATGTTGAAGTGGTAACTGTGTAGGAAATCCACCTTCGATGATAGCTAAAAAATTAAATCATATTATCGATATCAAAGAATTAGATGTAATTTATTAATATTATGATCGATCAAAAGAAAATAATAAGAAAAAAAAATGATAGTAATACCTTTCCCTTTGTCAAGAATAGCAGGACAAGCCAATGATGTTAATTCTAAAACCTCAAGTACGTCCTTTTGCTGAAGGCCAGCACGATCTGCTAAAGCCATGCTCTCGGCCAAACCAGCAAGAGTGACTCCTGCCATTAACTGAAGCACAAGATTCATTTTGGAAGCATTGCCGACCTCACCAAGATAAAAACTATTTTTTCCCATTGCTTCGAAGCAAGATTGGCATTCATCGAATAGAGTTCGATCACCAGCCGCAAGGATCACCAATGTACCTTCCTGTGCTTGAGTTTTGCTACCCTGTACTTGAGCCTCTAAATAGCGGCCACCTTTTGCAGTTATTGCCTCAGCGATATCTTGTGATGTTTCTGCATCTATACCAGTCATTTCTACATATCCTTTCTCTGGAGATATTTCTGTGAGAACTCCACAATTTCCAAATACCATCTAAAAATAATAACGTTTTTTTATAATATAGTATGATAACAAAACAATAACAAAATTAAATTAATTTAAAAGATAAATTATATTGTTACTTACATCTTTAGCTGCTTGAGGATCGGCTACACAAGAAAACGTAATATCGGCGGCAAGAACCACATCGGATGGTGTTAAACCTTGTTCTGCCCCAGCTTTTACGAAATCTGCGCACTAACACAAAAAAAAACAATACACTAAATTTAAATTTTTTAATTTTTTAATTTAAATTAAAAATTTTGAAAATTGATGAGACCAACCAATGAAAACATGGAAATATAAATTTATAAATACATAATATTTCATTATATAAAGAAATAAAATAATGTACTTAAATAGAAAGTATTTTTGTATTTTTCTTTTCAATTCATAAATTAAGCTTGTTACGGCCCTGATAAGTTTTGATTTAGCATCTTAGCGACACCGCTCGGTGCGACATGGTACTGCAAAAAATCTAACGATAGCGGCTCCGGTAGATGTCGCCACAACGAGCCACTCGCCATTTGCGTCGCCATTCAGGTCACGTACGTAGTCTCAACAGCTTCGAAGCTAAACGTTTCCAGGCTTGCTTGCCACATCAGCAAACGACGCCATTGCATCATTTAAAGATATTTCCCGCATACGGCCAAAAGGTGTATCTACATATTCATTGAGATTCAAAGAATTATAAATTCATTTAGCTTTATATGTAGCGTAAAACGAATATGTTCTGATGAATTTCTAGAAATTTCTAAACTTTCCAATATTTAAGAAATGAACAACAAATCAGTAAAAACAGTTAATATTGCAATATTCAATTTGAAAATTATATTAAATTAATATAACAACAATTCGATTATGCCAAAATTTATAAGATATATATAATATTGTTTTTTATATGAAATTAAGTATTCTCAGATTTTTAAACTGACGCCATATTTTATCCAATATATAATGGTATCATATTTTATGACTTATACTTTTCAATCAAATTAATTTTTTTCAGCTATTAACACTTATTCAATTATTGAATATAATTCATGTATTAATTACGATTTTTTATTGAAATATATACATAATGAATGTAAATCAAAAATGCTAAAAGAACATTCATGACATTGACGATTTCTTTATGAATGTAGCGAGTCAATAAGTCGGTTGAGTGTTGTCAACAAAGAAACAGAAAAGACGAGTAGGTTATATTCTTTCAGTCCACAAATAATCTTTGATAATTTTATAAACCGAGATTTTACAACTAAATAAATATAATAAATGTTGTTCTTTAGTCATAAAGCAAATTCTTTGGTTATTAAATGATAAAAGCAATAATAATATATATTTTGTTTTAATATTAATTAATATTTATTCATATTAATATTTATTAGTTAAATAATATTTAATAATTTGAAACAAATATAAAAATTTTTATCTTTCATTCTTTACATGCGCGCAAAAATAATTAAACAAAAAGTATATCGATCACATTTCAGATTTGTATTATTTTACACAATATTCCAATCTGTTTGAGCAAGCAAGAAAAATTTATTCATATAATATAGTCATATATATTATGAAATATAAAGTCATAGAATATAAATAATAAAATGCCTATTCGATTGAAAAATCGAATATGTAAAACAATTATGTTATGCATTGATAACATAAATAGCATGATTAGAGTTAAAAATTGAAGAAATAAACGTAAAATGAAAAAGGAAAGATGCAAATGATCAATAGGTAAGAAACTTTTCTTTTTTTCTTTTTTTCATAATTATGTGCAATACAAAGTGAAAATATGTATTCTCAATTGCTTGCTACGTTCGGATTATATTTGCTCAACTTGCAAAACTAAAAAAATTTGCAGATGTAGAATTTAAAATAGCAGCTTAATTTTGTCACATATAATCTATTTTATTCATTTTAATCATTTTATTCATATTAATAATTTGGTACTATATGTAAAAAAAAACCTATTTTAACTTTTTTTTTTATAGAATTTTTTTGATATAAAAATTTCAAAAAGAACCATTATTTTTTATTTAAATATAATGAGAAATTATATAACAAGCTATATTTATGTAACTGTGAAATACATGTCAGTGGATAACCTTGAACCAACTTCAATCGACTTGTATAGTTTCTATCAAAGAAGAAATTTAATGATTTTCCGGAACGAATAAGTCCGTGTATTCAATATAATTGCATGTAATATACGTTAAATACTTCAGAATATTTCAAATACCGTCCATATAATAAGTCTTGATTTTCAAATCTTTCAAATACTTTAAAAAAATTATATATATTGCAATGTTATTTACAATTATGACAATTTATAAAATCTCTTTTATTATATATTTAATTAATTAATACTACATTAATCAGAAAAATATTTAAAATTGGTTATATATGATTATATATATGTGATTATATGATACTTTGAAAAATTAATTGTTATATATTTAATACCAAATATTATTATATAAATAGAAAAACATTTACTATCCTGAATAATGTATAAGTATTTCAAACCTTCAATAAAATGTAAAAATTATATATAAAATTATAAAATTATATATTAATATTATATATTAAACATCGAAAGTAAGAATTTACTTAAACAATAATGTTATGTATATTAAATATAATATAATTCTAAAATTAATTTAAGCATTATTTTTGCTGAATTCATTTTTTCTTAAGATTTGATTATTCGAAATGATTTTAATCTTTTTCAATTAGATTTTTTCTTGTATCCAAGAGATCCATTTTTTTCTAAAAAATGAATTATATAATAAAGAAAATATAATAAAGAACTATACATATACACATGTCGATCAACAAAAAAGTCGGATGGACACGCATGAAATTGGCATACTAGAATACAAGTTGGAAAAGTAGCGGATGTTGTTCAACTAGAAGTAAAAAAGAATTATAACTCTGCAGCTTTCAGTGAATGCGGAAATTCTTTATATAAAATTTTGTATTTATAAATTAGAAACTTTAATATTAATTTTGTTATTATTAATTTACACATGATACATGATCAAAAAATAAAATGAAAACAGAAAACACGAGCGTGAGAATTCATATAAAGAAAAACGACTTGTATTTAAGAAGATGAAAAAAATTCCTACAAAATTCTAAGAATCATCTCAAAGTTTTATAAAAAAAGTTATAACTAGTTAATAAAAAAAAGTTAATTAACATTTTTATTCACATTGGTTATACGCAAAAATTAAATTATTTCGGAACTTGAAATATCTTATAACAATCATTATCAGTATACTAAGGTGAAAGCTCAACTAGCAATTAATTTCACCGAATTGCTAACTCGGTGAGAGCAAGAATGAACATGTCGAGACGAAAGAACCATGAAGGTAAAGTGGAAGAAGGTACGTTTAATAAAGATAATTAGCAAGTCTCTTGTGTGTTTCTTCTATAATTTACTGTGGAAAATTTTTTCCAAATTTTCTACAGATGAATTGAATATTTTATATATTTTAATATAATTGAAAAAATTTAAAATTTCTAGAGCAATATTAAAATATAATTTTTTTTAAATTTACAATTATAAAATCTGTAAAGTTTTTAACTATTGTTCAATGATTTAATCTTAATCATTATAGATTAGAAGAATTAATCTTAATTAAATAGAAAGTTACTTAAACTTTTATGAAATAATTCTCTATTATTAAAATAAAAATTATAAAGATAATTAATTATAAAATAAGATAATAAGATAATTAAGATTACTAGAGTACTTAAATAATTTAACTATTACCAGAGTATTATAAGTAATAATATTTTTTAGTTTAATTATTTTCAAATGAAGACTATATCCTGAGCTCATAATATCAATTATATAAGTTGAATGACCAGCATTCATACAGGTAATATATAATATGTTGGAACACACTATATTTTATATTCGTATATATTGATATTCGTACGTCCCTGATTACTTTGATTTATACCCATCAATTCTAAAAATATTTATGTAACATAATGTAATTCAAACTATAGAATTTTCTATCATATTTAATAATTAATCTTGTTTAGTTCATTTATTTGATATTTTAACTTTAAATATAGTTAAACAAATAATTAACTTTTCAAAAATATAAAAGAAATAGTAAAATAAAGTTGTAAAGGCCAAGGGAACGAAGATGACGAAGGACAAAAGCGACCAAAGGAAGGTTCAGAACGAGCTTGCGCCGTATGACCGACACGTATAAATAAAGAGTTGGATAGCTGCGAGGTTGCCAGATTTCAGTAATATTGATCGACAAAGTCGACGCGGTCGCCAACCGGGGTCACGAAAAGAAACATGGCAACATTGTACCGTTCCCAGCTGATCGAGCTCTCCTCAGGTCTCAACGGTCGACTGTATCTCTGTTTCTTCGAATTCTGTCATTTTTGTATGAATCTCTTTATTTTCTTTTTGTAATTAACAAAAGCATCTATCGCCTTTATTATTCTTTATTTATTTATCATCCTTTCTTAAAAAATTTTTTTTTTCTTATTATGTCAAATGAATTTCGATTTATCAAATATAAGAAAAATGCTTTTTTCTATTTTATAACTACACACGTGATATTATGATATGTAATAATATTATGCAATAAAGAAAATTTCATTATGCGCTAAATATTTAAATTCTATTTATTTCTAAGAATAAAACACAAAAAAAGAACTTGGAATTTTTTTTTAATTCTCTTCTACTCCATTTTGCTTTCATCATAACAAATTATTTTATACCAATTTTATAGTCCAGTTGTCAGTATTGAAGATGGAAGAATGCATGTTTAAAATAACTACGTATTTTTTTTTCTATTATTATTATCTATCTACAATCTTTTGACTCTTCTAAAGATCGTGTGCCAATAGTATTACGTAACAACGCTATTGAATTTATTTGTTAATGTATCTTTAAGTTATTTATTAATTCAAAAGAAAATTTTCATAAATTTGCAAATATTTTCAAATTTTGCGTGTATATATATATATATATATATATATATATATATATATATATATATGTATATATA